TTTAATTCAGAGTATTTTTAATAAACCAGCAATAACTTCGGTAGGTCTTGGACTATTTTAAAATTTAGACCATTTTTGAAAACTAGACAAAATGACCTTTCAACTCAATAACTCTTCTAAAAAATCTGTAAAAAATCCAAGCTATTGGTGGAACGTAAAAAAAAACATTTACAAAATAATCCAATCGAGGAAGCTGAATATCGCAGTGAAGGTCCCATATATTTATTTTTAATAATATTTTTAAAATTACCTTCAGGAGAAGGTTCCTCCGTCCACCTCACATATTCTATCCTCCTTCACCCCACATATTCTATCCGTTCTCTAATCCATCACAATCCCCTCTACAACCTGTCCTCCTTAGACAAAAATGTCCCTTTACATAAGTCTACCTTCACTAGAAGGTGTCACCATCCTTCGTCCACCCTAATCCTCCATACTTTCCTGAATGAGTTATTAATTCCGCTAATACATATGAGAAAGAGAGAGAGAGTGCTTGTCGTCTAGAATTAGTTGATGATTTGTCAATGTTGCTGTTATTATTATAGCTGTTGTTGTTGTTGTTATAATTTATTTGTCTAGTACTCTTCAACAGTCATCATTTTGATTGTGTGTTTTAATTAAGACAAATATGCAGCGAACAAACAGAAAAAATAACAACAACAACAACAAGAACAAAAAAAAATCGACAGACAAAACAAATACTGGATCATGACAATATTTTTTGTCATTAAGTTAATCGACACGTTCGCCGGGGAATAATATTGACATTGCGGATGGGGATAAATGCATTGGAGCCTTTCTTTGAAAAAATATATTTTTTAAACAACTACACTTAACGCCAGATGGCGAATAATTTCCAAAAATTTTACACATTAAAGAGAGCCACAAAAGAAATTTTTCAAAAAATCTACACCACCGCGAAAATATGTTTTTTGAACAACTAAGCCTAAGCGGTTACCAAGAGAAATATTTGTTACAAAAATCTACGCTTTAAAGCGGATCACAAAAATATCTTCCAAATGATATACGGTTGTGATAAATCGTGAAAAACTACATTTTTATTTCTCCGAACCATGGTGCGTATGACTACTATTAATTATGAGTATTTTTAATAAATCGCCAATATCTTCAAAAGTTCTTGAGCAATTTTCAATTTTAGGCTATTTTTGAAAACTAGACACCTTGCTCTTCAAACTAAATACCTCTCATAAAACTCATTTGGTTTTGAAAATATAGTAGTCTGAACATGAATATTTTTTTTTTAGAAAATCCACGCACATGGTAGATTTTAGAAAATATTTTTTTAGTTAATATTTAAAAATATATTTTAAAATCGGAGGCTTTTATGCATCCTGCTTAATTTTTTTTAGTCCACGCCTTGTATAGGCCTCGTAAAGCTATATTTTATAAAAACCCCATGCCAGTGATAATCTTGGAAAAATTAAAATTTAACTTCTTCGAACCATGGTGCGTATGACTACTATTAATTACGAGTATTTTTAATAAATCAGCAATAACTTCAATAGGACTTCGTCAATTTTGAATGCTTAGGCTATTTTTGAAATCTAGACACATTGATCTTTCAACTCAATAATTTTTCTAACTAATTCATGCTTTAGGGTTATTTGAAAGAGCATGTTATTATAAAAAGGGTGGCGTAGGGGATGATAGATACCAAGCAACGGCTCCGATTGGCTTTAACATGGCGAAGTCCAGGCTTATCTTGGTCCCTCTTTCATCTCAATTGTGTCTCCGCGGTGCCACCTGGGGAGCTATTCTCTTCACCCGATGAAATAGTGAGCTAATATGTGCCGCGAGTTCACCCATAAGAACTATAAAAATCGGGTTGAGGCGTCGGGTTAGTTGCCCACTCTCGGAAAACCCAATCTACTATGAAAAAGCTAAGAAAAAGAAACCAGTGTGCTGTGTGAACGATTGGCTTTAACATGGCGAAGTCCAGGCCTATCTTGGTCCGTTTTTCATCTCAATTGTGGACACTGACCTCCCCGCGATGGCACCTGGGGAGCTATTCTCATCACCCGATGAAATAGTGAGCTAATATGTGCCGCGAGTTCACCCATAAGAACTATAAAAAATCTACTATGAAAAAGCTAAGAAAAAGAAACCACTGTGCTTTGTGAACGATTGAAGCCAATGGTCAATGACATTATCGGACCATACCAATGCGGCTTTAGACCTGGCCTATTCACCATTGACCAGATTTTCACTCTGCGCCAAATCCTGGAAAAGACCCACGAAAAACACATCGACACATACCGCCTATTTGTCGACTATAAAGCCGCATTCGCGACAGCCCTATCCGTTCAGAGGTGTTTAAAGCCATGTCTACGTTCGGCATTCCTGCAAAAATAATACGGCTATGCAGAATAACTTTAAGTGGCACAAGGTCAGCAGTTAAAGTAGGAAAGGACCTATCGGAGCCCTTCAATACCGAACAAGGATTCAGACAAGGTGACAGTTTGTCGTGTGTCTTTTTAACATCCTACTGGCAATAGGTCATACGAGATGCAAAGGTGAACAGAAATGGCACTCTGTACACCAAACAACACATGTTAGTCGCCTACGCCATCGATGACATCGATATAATGGGTCGAACATTGCGAGCGGTAACAGCCACCTTTGAACAAATTGAAAAGGAGTCTGCCAAAATGGTGGATCTGGCAGTAAACGGCGAGAAGACCAAGCTGATGATATTAACGCACAAGGCGACCAGTAGACTCGGACCAACTGTGGATCTGGAGAACTACAGCTTCGAGGTAGTTAAAGACTTTATATACCTTGGTACCGCCATAAATACGAAACGAATGACATCAGTTTTGAAATTCGGAGAAGGATTGTGATGGTTACCAGATGCTACTATGGTCTAAGTAAGCTGTTTAGAAACAAGGCCACCTCCCGCCAGACCAAACTCACACTTTACAAGACGCTGATACTGCCCGCCGTGCTGTTATATGGATCAGAAGCATAGCTAATTTTGCAAGCAGATGAGGCAGATCTTGGGGTGTTTGAAAGAAAAATTCGCTGAAAGATTTATGGCCGATCTGCGTCAACGGTGAATATCGGAGTCGAATGAACCACGAGCTTTACCATTTATACGCGGGCATGGACATAGTCAGTCATGGACATAGTCAATCGTATTGAGCTGCAGCGACTACGGTGATTAGGCCATGTTGTGCGGATGAATGAGAATGCCCCAGCTCAAAAGGCATATAAAAACAAGCCTACTGATGGTTCCCGTTGAAGGGAAAGGTCACGAATTTGATGGAGAGACCAAGTAGAAACCAACATCTCGGAACGCGGTCTTTCAAATTGGAGGAAATGGGCACAAGACCGACGCTCTTGGAAATCTATTTATACCCTTCACCACACTGTGGTACAGGTCTTTGTGCATATGTTTGTAACAGGCAAAAGGTAACGAGATAGACCCATAGTTTCTTTTGAGAATATGCATAGAATCACTTTCTGAGTCAGAAGTACAGGTCGCATTTATAATCTGCTTTGGATGAAATTTGGCACAGCGCACTTGTTTGGCCCAAGGACGAACCCTATTGAAATTGGGAAAAATCGGTTCAGATTTAGATATAGCTCCCATATATATTTTCGTCCGATTTATGGTAAATGGTCCACTAAAGACTCTATATATCTGTCGATTTACACGAAATTTGGTATAACGTAATGAAATGAGCATAGAGTGATGTCTGCCAAGTTTCGTGAAAATCAGTCCAGATTTAGATATAGCTCCATATATAGTTTCGTCCGATTTCATGTAAATTGTGCACCAAAGTCCCTATATATCTTTCGATTTGCACGAATTTTGGCATAACGTACTGAACTGAGCATAAAGTGATGTCTGCCAAGTTTCGTGAAAATCGCTCCAGATTTAGATATAGCTCCCATATATATTTTCGTCCGATTTCATGTTAATGGTGCACCAAATTCCCTATATATCATCCGATTTGCATGAAATTTGGCATAACGTACTGAACTGAGCCTAGAATGATGTCTGCCAAGTTTCGTGAAAATCGGTCCAGATTTAGATATAGCTTCCATATATATTTTCGTCCGATTTCATCTAAATATTGTACCAAAGTCCCTCTATATCTTTCGATTTGCACGAAATTTGGCATAACGTACTGAATTGAGCCTAAAATGTTGTCTGTCAAGTTTCGTGAAAATCGGTCCAGATTTAGATATAGCTCCCATATATAGTTTCGTCCGAATTCATGTAAATGGTGCACCAAAGTCCCTATACATCATTCGATTTGCATGAAATTTGGCATAACGTACTGAACTGAGCCTAGAATGATGTCTGCCAAGTTTCATGAAAATCGGTCCAAATTTAGATCTAGCTTCCATATATATTTTCGTCCGATTTCATCTAAATATTGTACCAAAGTCCCTCTATATCTTTCGATTTGCACGAAATTTGGTATAACGTAATGAATTGAGCGTAGAGTGATGTCTGCCAAGTTTCGTGAAAATCGGTCCAGATTTAGATATAGCTCCCATATATAGTTTCGTCCGATTTCTTGTAAATTGTGCACCAAAGTCCCTATATATCCTTCGATTTGCACGAAAATTGGTATAGCGTAATGAATTGTGTCTAGAATGATGTGTGCAAAGTTTCGTGAAAATCGTTTCAGGTTTAGATATAGCTCCCATATATAGTTTCGTCCGAATTCATGTAAATGGTGCACCACAGACCCTATATATCATTCGATATTGTTTTTTATTTATTTTATTATTATTATTTTTTTTAAGTAGAGTACCTCTAAATTCCCCCATGACTAACCACCAGAACGTTTATCAGTAAACAAATTGAGTTCAATATTCCCAAAAATACTATCTCACACAAGCGAAATCACTCAGCCATGAAAATCAACAATGTTTTTATTATTATTATTTGGAAAAAATAGCATTCATTAAAATTAATCAATCATTCCGATGATGGCTGATGGTTAAACCTACCATAGAAAGTCATGCAAGTTATTTCGAGTTACGTTCTCCTAACCTTCACGATTCTAAACATAACCTGGGCATTGAAAGTAAAATTCACCAAATTGGAATGTTTCGAATTGGATAAACCCTTCGCCACAATACCCAAGTGTTATTTGAAGGCCCTGTCGCGCTATCAATCGGCATTGAATATTCATGTGGCCCTGCATCAGGTTCCCGTGAATAATGTTTCGGTAAGAAAGAACTATTTTTTGAATATTTTTTTTCAATTGATTTTTTTATAAAATTTCCCCCTTTGTCTTCGCAGTTCAATGCCGCCCTCTACCAGAAAGGCAACAATGGCTATCGGCCGTTTATGTATAATAACACCGTAGATTTTTGTAGTTTCTACAAAAATCCAAATCGTTTTATATTTTGGAAAATCATATTTTTCAACATGATTGCACCGGCATCAAATATCAATCACACATGTCCATTTGATGTAGGTTTTTGAGGATCTAAGTAATTTTTTTGAAATAATTTTAAATTTTTTACTATTATTATTTTTTAGCATGACATTATTGTGAAAAATTTAATATTGGATTCGTCAATGTTTCGAATGATACCCTTCCCGGCAAATGAATACTCGGTAAGGGTTAAGGTTGCTGCCTACAATCATTATAAGGCTGATATTCGAGCTTATGTGCAACTTATCGAATAATTAATAAATAACTAATTTTTATGGATCGAGGATAATTTTTATTAAGATTTTTCAGGATCCACTAAAGGCTGGGATTCTTTTAAATTTAGTAATATATCTAATTTATATGGGGGCTACCCTGAAAAAGTGGTTCTTTATATCCCATTTTCAGAGGTATAAAAATATACGCCTTTGATAGATCTATTAAAAAATATTTATTTTTTAAATTCACTCCAGCGATAAACTGGAAAAAATACTGTTTTATTTGTTAGAACCATGGTGCGTATGACTATTTTTAATTCCGAGTATTTTCAATAAATCGACAATAACTTCAATATTTCTTGGGCAATTTTAAATTTAAGGCTATTTTTGAAAACTAGACACATTGATCTTCCAATGCAATAACTGACCCTCATTCATCTTCATTCACTTCTAGTCATATAAGGGTTACTATTTGGAAGTATGAAATAATATATTTACAAACAAGTGAAAAAGCGTTAAGTTCGGCCGCGCCGAACTTTGGATACCCTCCACCATAGATATACTGACATGTACTAGAAATGAAAATATAGAGAACATACCAAAAAGTGGACCTATACCGACATTTCTAAAAACGTATTATATAAACCTTAATACAAATTTCAAAAATTTGCAATTTATAATTCAAATTCGAAGATGGGAATATCGGTCCGCTCCTTCTGAAAGCTCCACACAGGGGCTAGGTCTAAAAGCGGTTATAGTTCATTATCGAACCTTACGTTCTATTTTTTTTCTCGTTATCCTCCGCAGGTGAAATGATTACAATGGAGTCTTAGAACCAAACTCAAAACGCGGAACATATCAGATAACTATTTTAATAAAAAAGGGGGTTATATGGGGACTACCCCAAAAAGGGGGCCAATAATAATAATTTTTGGTAGAGAGATTTGTTACCATATACAACTACAAAATACCAAATTGCAGAAAATTGGGGGTACCCTTATATGGGGGCTATCCGAAAAAAATGAACCTCTATTCATAATTTTTTGTGGAGAGATTTGATACCTATTAAGAACTCAAAATACTAAATTACAGCTAATTCGGTGGAAAAATACGATCAAAACCCCCAAAATACTGAAAATTGGGAGGTACCGTCATATGGTGGCTACCAGAAAAAGTGGACCTATATTTATAATTTTTTGTGGAGACAATTAGGACCCAATAAAAACCCAATGTAGTAAATTTCAGCGAATTCGGCTGAAAACGCGCTCAAGAACCCCAAAATACCGAAAATTGGGGGTATTGCCTATTGGGAGCTATGCCTAAACCTGGACCAATATATCCCATCTTCGAACTTGATCTGCTTGCAGACTAAAGACAACTTTATGTAAAATGTCAGCACCCTATCTCAATTCCTTCAGAAGATAGCGTGATTACAACAGACGGACGGACGAACAGACGGGCGGGCGTGGCTAGATCGTCTTAGAATAGCTCTGAAAACTGGACAATGTCAGTTCTAATTAATTTTTAAATAATCCAAATTTTTGGTGGATCTTGAAAACATTTTTTTTAAAAGGCCATGTTATTGATGGTTCCTGAAAATAGTTTAGAACTTGATAAAGTTTGATAAATCATGAAAAATATCCTAATATTATATTTGACAAAGCCAGTCTTTTATGGATTCTGAAAAATATTTTTAATAACCCATGCTAGTCATATTTCTTGAACATTTTAAGTTTTATTTCTCTGAACCATGGTGCGTATGACTATTATTAATTATGGGTATTTTTAATAAATCCGCCATAGTATCTATAGTTCTTTAAGAATTTTTAATGTTAGACTATTTTTGTAAAATAGACACATTTCTCTTCAGACTCAATATCCTTTTCAATTAATTTGTAAATCCCATCCTTTAGTGAACACTAAAAAAAATATTTTTTAATAGTCCCAGCCTTTAGGAGATTCCGAAAAATATTTTTCAAAAGTTCAAGTCTTCGGTGCATTTTTTATTTATATATATTCTTTAAAAACTACAAGACGTCTGTGGAACCCGAAAAACATTTCGGTTTAAAATCACGCTTCGAACAAACCTAAAAGTTATCTGTCTTTCTCCGAACCATGGTGCGTATGACTTTTATTAATTACATGTATTTTTAATAAATCAGCCATAGCTTCATTAGTTCTTGAACAATTTTAAATTTTTTGATAGCTAGACACATTGCTCTTCAGACTCAATATCATTTCTAAATAATTTCTAAGTCCCATCCTTTAGTGGATACTAAAAATATTTGTTAATAATCCCAGCTTTTGGGAGATTCTGACAAATATTTTTCTAACGCTCAAGCCTTCGGTGCATTTTTAAATATATTCCTTAAAAACTACCAGACGTTGGTGGATCCCAAAAACCAAATAAAATATTTTTTAATAAATCCGCCATAACTTGGACAATTTAAAATTTTAGGCTATCTTTGAAAACTAGACACATTGCTCTTCGAACTCAATATCCTTACTAAGTATTTTTTTAAGAATTCCAGGTAGGATTCTGATATATCTGGAAAAATATTTAAAAAAATATATTGTCTTCTAAAATCCCAGTCATTGGTCAATTTTTAAAAATACTCTTTAAAAATAGCCAGAATTGGTGGATCCCGGAAAATTTTTTTTTAAATGTCCACCTGGGAAAATTAATATTTCTTTACTACGAACCATGGTGCGTATGACTATTTTTAATTATGAGAATTTTTAACAAATCAACAATAACTTCAATTAAAAATTTTAGGCCATTTTTGAAAACTAGACACATTGCTCTTCGAACTCAATATCCTTATTAATTAATTTTTAAAGAATCCAAGTCTCCGGTGGATCTTGAAAAATAGTTTTTAATAATCCCAGCATTTGGAGGATTCTGACAAATATTTGTTCGAATGTCCAAGCCTTTGGTGCATTTTTAAAAATATTCCTTAAAAAATAACAGAATTTGGTGGATTAAACCTAGGAAAATAAAAGTTTCTTAACTACGAACCATGGTGCGTATGACTATTATTAATTATGAGTATGTTTAATACGTCAGCAATAACTTCAACAGTCGTTGGGTGATTTTAAATGTTAGGCTATTTTTGAAACCTAGGCATATTTATCTTCCAACTCAATAACATTTCTAATGTACAAAAGAAAATCTAAGCCTTTGATGATACCTCAAAAATTATGTTTAAAAAATCTCTAAGCCTTTAGTGGATCTTGAAAATATATTTTTTAAGATCTCTACTTTCGGTGGATCCTGAAAATATATATTTTAAATACGGAAAAAATGTCGCATTCTGCAAAAAAAAAAATCGAAAATCTATTCCTTCAACTCATTTTTAAAAATATTCTCTAAAAAATGCTAGACGTTGGAGGATCCCGAAAACAATTTTTTTTTTTAATTTTCACGCTACTGAGCCTGGGATAATTAAAGTTTCTTTACAACGGCCGATGGTGCGTATGACTATTATTAATTATGAGTATTGTTAATAAATCAGCAATAACTTCAACAGTCGTTGGGTGATTTTAAATGTTAGGCTATTTTTGAAAACTAGACAAATTTATCTTCCAACTCAATGACTTTTCTTACATAAAAAAGCAAATCCAAGGCTTTGTGATACCTCAAACAATAGGATAAACAATTTTCTAAGCCTTTAGTGGATCTTGAAAATATGTTTTTATAATATCTCAGCTTTCGGTGAATCCTGAAAAAATATTTTTGTAATATCTCATCTTTCGGTGGATCCGGAAAATATATTTTTATAATATCTCAGCTTTCCTTAGGTCCTGAAAATATATCTTTTAAATGTCTCAGCCTTTTATGGATGCTAAATGCACGCCTTATGTTGGTCCATGATGGATGCTAAATCCACGCCTTATGTTGGTCCATGATGTAAGTTGTGCAAAAATTGATGTCAATCTGACTAACATGAGGAGTTTGATGCACAATTTACTTGAAATCGGGCGAAAATATATATGGAAGCTCTATCCAAATATTAAGCGATTTCAGACAAACTTGTCACAGGTTAGGTTATACGAATTTCAGAACGTTTTGTTCCTATCAGCCTATTGGTTCCTTGTCGCGTCAATTACTTAAAATCACTCTATAATAAAAGGGAGCTATATCTAAGTCTGGACCGATTTTCACGGAACAAGGCAGACATGACTCTAGGCTCAATTCAGTACCTTATGCCAAATTCCGTGGAAATCGAAGTATATATAGGGACTTTGTTACACCATTTATATGAAATCGGACTAATCTATATATGGGAGCTATATCTAAATCAGGACCGATTTTCACGAAACTTGGCAGAATCATTCTAATCTCAATTCAGTACGTTATGCCAAATTTCGTGTAAATCGAAAGATATATAGCGACTATTTGGCACCATTTACATGAAATCGGACGAAACTATATGTGGGAGGTATATCTAAATCTGAATCGATTTTCTCGAAACTTGGCAGACGTCACTCTTGGCTTAGTTCAGTACGATATGCCAACTTTTGTCCCAATCGAAAGATATATAGGGACTTTGGGGCAACATTTAGATGAAATCGGACGAAACTATATATGGGAGCTATATCTAAATCTGGACCGATTTTCACGAAACTTGGCAGACATCATTCTAGACCTAAATGATTAGGCTGTACCAAATTTCGTGCAAATCCAAAGATATATGGGGACCGTTTACATTAAATCGGTTAAATATATATGGGAGCTATATCTAAATCTTAACCGATTTTTCCCAATTTCAAGAGGGTTCGTCCTTGGGCCGAATAAGTGACCTATACCAAATTTCATCCAATTCGGATCATAAATGCGACCTGTACTTTGTTTACAATTTAACATGGACAGACAGACGGCCGGACATGCATAGATCGATTTAGAAAGTGATTCTATGCATATTCTCAAAAGGAACCATGTGTCTATCTCGTTTCCTTTTGCCCGTTTACAAACATATGCACAAAGACATAATACCCTGTACCACAGTGTGGTGAAGGGTATAAAAATATTTTTTTAAAAAATCCACGCCTTAGTGCTACTTGAAATATATTTTTAATTGTGTTAGTCTTAGAAAATATTTCCGGGAGCCATATTACCCTCTATGGCTCCCGGAAATATTAATAAATTAATTGAAAAATAAATAATTTATTTTTCTATATTAAAAATATATTTCCTTTGAAATCCAATCAGTTTAAAAACTCTGTGTAAATATTCCCCTATTTCCATGCCACAAATCAATAACAAAATAAAAATTAAATCTCAAAGGAAAAATTTAATATTTTCATTTTCAAATTTAGATTTGATTGTCTTCTTGTTTCTCAACTGGTACTTATTTGCTGCTTACACATATACAAACAAACAAACATACGTACATAGATGTTATGAAAAGCATCGTTACATACTCGTATATGATATGTTCCGACAAGTGTATATCAATAAAGAGAGTTGTTCAAATACACACATCACCCACACACAATCTTGCACAGACACGCACACACACTCATATCATTATCGGAATACCAAATGACACCATAGAGACAATATTATCACATAGACAATCATACAACGACATTTCATATCTCTTTATGAACAGCCAAAAACACAAAGGAACAAGCACACTCACACACACACAGTCACTCACTCTTACACATTTTTGTATTTAATTCCCATTCTTAAGTAACACAAAGAAGTTTGAAGAAGAATAAAGAAAGAAAAGAAATATTAACCAAATATGGAAGGATGTCATGAAGTGGAAAGGGACCACAAGGAAGACACAAAAAACAAAACCCATGCAATTCTTCTTCTTCTACTTCCTTCTAGTATTTCCTGGTATTTGTGCATATTTAACATGGCCATTACAATGTAAACACTTTGAAGAGCACACACACACACATACACATTATATCGGTGACAATGTACTTGAATATGATGTGGAGAATGGGGTGGGGTGAAATTATTAAAAGGGGATTTTTTTGGGAATAAAAAAATCGACAGAAAAAAAAAATAAAAATAAATAAATAAAAATGCTGAGTAGGTATCCACCCTATTAAACAAAATTTTACAATTCTTTGGAATTACACCTTCAACAATTTTCCCAACAGCACCATCATTATATACCAACTATTATATTTATTTACATATTTCTTCAAAAAGTGACCACCCTAATATACATAGGTTCATGTATCCAATTTCCACATGTTTCACGTTAAAGGTGTGTGCCTTAAGCTTAAGCAAATACAGGACTCTTAGCAGGCCTTATGCCTGCTGCTGTTGCTGCTGCCGCTGTCAACAGTTCCTCGTTGTAAGCAAATATTCATAAACGAATAAATATTTGAAGAATACAAGAGAACAAAAAAAAAAAAAAAACAACAAACGTAAAAGAAACCCAACCTAAGACAAAGAGTGAGAGAAAAAAAAAACGAATGAGGAATGAATGGCGTAAAAAACCAAAGGGACTACACACAAACAGAAGAAATAAATTGCCAGCTAAACGCTGCTTATTGTCGATGATGGCTTTAAGTGAAATGGGAGATACAGTAACAGACAAAAAAAATTAAAAAAATATATATTTTTTTAAAAAATCCACGCCTTGTGTAGATCCCTTAAAAGTATTTTTAAAAAATCAAAAAAAAAAAAAAAATAAAATAAAATAAAAAATAAAACAGTAAGGCTATGATGATAGATACCAAGCAACGGCTCTGATTGGCTTTAACATGGCGAAGTTCTGGCTATGATACCCTTCAAAACTTTGGGTATAATGAACATCTTCTTCTTAGCTGGCTTGTGACAGAATTTTCGTTCCATAAGCCGAGCTTAACACTAGAACGCCGAAGGTGGTCATTTTGACCGCTTTCCAATTTCAATTGAGTGCATTTAATGACACTTTTTTTAAAATATGGTGACTTTTTGTACCTCATAGAATTACTTTTATTATAAAAAATCACCAAATTTAAAAAAGTGTCGTTAAATGCACAGTTGCTTTTGTACTTGAAATTGGAAAGCACCACGATGTGCGAATCTGCCTTGGAATGTGCTAGTGTTAAAAAAGATTTCCAGTTTTCGCTTTTGCGGATGTTTTCCACTTTGAAAGATCATATTCGGCAATGTTGGTCTTTCTATCATTTTCGTGGCCTTCCCCTTCTGCGTGAAGCATCAGCTGGTTCGCATCTATATGCCTTCTGGGCTGGGACATCTTCATCAATTCCCACAACATGACCTAACCAATGTAATCGCTGCAGCTGAATACGAACATATTTTACGAGCGTCTAGAAACAGCATATGATCGCTGCCCTGGTCATGACATTAAAATTCTGCTAAGAGATTTTAATGCAAATATCGGAAGGGGAAATATCTTTTAACCCCACTGTTGGGAAATTCAGCCTTCATAAAGAAACATTCGACAACGGCATGAGGTTGATTGACTTCGCGGCAGCAAAAAATATGATAGTTAGCAGCACCAGATTCAAACATCTCCATATACACAAGGCCACCTGGATTTCTCCTGCTAAAGCAACGAGAAATCAAATTGATCATATTATGATAGACGGAAGGCATTCGTACGATCAATCCGAGGAGCGAATATCGATTCGGTCCATTACTATGTGGCAGCCAAGGTATGCAACAAGGGTGCGATCTAACACAACACGAAAACTCGACGTCGAAAAGCTGCAAACACAACAGGTAGCCGAGGCCTACCCCGCTCAACTTACCCAACTGTTTGACGAAAGCACCCCTTGCCACGATAATAATATAGAAGCACAATGCCAGAGAATTGCCCACTCTCTATAAACTGCAACAAAAGCAACACTTGGGTACCAAAGACCATCATCAAGAAACCCTTGATACGATCAGGAGTGTCGTAATGCTACCGATGTGAAAACGCAGTGTATACGGCAATCCTGCAGACAGTAGCAACACGTAATGTGATGGAGAATTATCGGGAGAAAAGGAGACAGGAGAATTTCGTGCAAATCGAAGGATATATAGGGACTTTGGGGCACCATTTACATAAAATCGGACGAAAATATATATGGGAGCTATATCTGAAACTGAGCCGATTTTCAAGAAATTTTACATACATCGTTTTAGACCTTATTTAGTACACTATGCCAAATTTCGTGCAAATCGAAAGATATATAGGGACTTTGGTGCACCATTTACATAAAATCAGACGAAAATATATATGGGAGCTATATCGAAATCTGAACCGATTTTCAGGAAACTTAGCACACATCACTCTGGGCTTAATTCAGTACGCTATGTCAAATTTCGTGCAAACCGAAAAATATATAGCGACTTTGGTGCACCATTTACATTAAATCGGACGAAAATATATATGGGAGCTATATCGAAATCTGAATCGATTTTCACGAAATTTAACACAAATCTTTCCAGTCATAATTTAGTACGCTATGCCAAATTTCGTGCAAATCGAAAGATATATAGGTACTTTAGTGCACCATGTACCTTAAATCGGACGAAAATATATATATGGGAGCTATATCTACATCTGATCCGATTTCTGCGAAACTTGGCAGACATCATTCTAGACCTAGTTCATTACGCTATATTAACTTTCGACCAAATCGAAAGATATATAGGGACATTGGTGGAACATTTATATTAAATCGGACGAAAATATATATGGGAGCTATATCTAAATCTGAACCGATTTTCACGAATCTTAGCACACATCATTTTAGACTAAATTCAGCACGCTATGTCAAATTTCGTGCAAATCGAAATATATACTTAGGGACTTTATTTCCACCATTTACCCTAAATCGGACGAAACTATATATGGGAGCTATATGGAAATCTGAACCGATTTTCCCAAACTTCACACATGTCACCCTAGACTAAAAAAAGTACGCCATGCCATATTTCGTGCAAATCGAAATATATATAGGGACTTTGGTGCACCATTTACATTAAATCGGACGATAATATATACGGGAGCTATATCGAAAACTAATCAAAAATGCGACCTGTACTTTGTTTACAATTTAACATGTACAGACGATCGGACAGACGGACATGCATAAATCAACTTAGCAAGTGCTTATATGCATATTCTGAAAAGGAACCATGTGTATATCTCGTTTCCTTTTGCCTGTTACAAACATATGCACAATGACATAATACCCTGTACCAGTGTGGTGAAGGGTATAAAAATCCACGCCTTATATAGGTCCTTAAAAATATCTTTCAAAAAAATCCACGCCTTATATA